AACAGAGGAGGGGAGAATGATGTACACCACCCTGAGCTTCTCTGGGCATCACAACTGCATGTCTTTCAGCATCTGCATAGTGGCCAACTGGTTGACTGTTTTGCACTAATAAACTTGTGCAAACTGTGAAATGAAATTTACAAACTAATTCTTTGTTTTTCCTTATGCAGCCTGGAAGAGGTTTGTTGTGGTTTCTCTCTCTGGGTGTGTCACTTGAGTAATTCATGAATTATTCTCAGAAACAGTGCTTTTAATGTTCACTGCAAGGCTGCCAAGTACACTGTTCATATCTGAAGAGGTTTGCCGCCTACAAATCCATCTCTATAGGAGTCTGCTTTGCCAGCATTGAGGTGTACAAAGGAATAATTGGGTTTGACTTTTTATTCTGTTCCGGCTACAGGCGGTTCTGGAAAGACTGGATGGGGAGTTGCAAGAAGCCAATAATAACCTGCAAACATTGAGGCAGAACTTTCTAGAACTCACAGAGCTGAAACATCTCCTGAAGAAAACCCAGGACTTCTTTGAGGTGATGTAATCTTTGAATATGCCATTGGGGCTTTCCAGAATATTCGCCTCTCCATTGCTGTTGTTGTTTTTCAACACCAAGCTTAGGGTCAAAGTAGACATAGTATCAGAAGATTCATGTCTTTACACCAGGGCCAGTTCCAGGTTTGGGGGCCCCTGAGCAGACAGTGCCCAGGGCCCCTGCATCTGCCCACCACCAGGGCCCTCCGCATGCGTTTTTTTCTTCCTCCACACCTGCATGCCCCCACCTGTCCTATCATCCTTCTTCTGCTTGCAAGCCCTCCCACTGTCCATGCTCAGTTCCCTGCCCCATCTGCACACCCTTTGCCCGACACCATGAGCCCCAATATACTGCTGAGAGTGCTGCTGTTATTGTCACCGGGAGTTCCACCACTATGCACCACCCACATGCCCTTCCTCAATGACGTTGGGCAGTTGGGAGCACTGGTACAGACAGGTAGCATGGGAGGTGAATGGGGGGAAGGGTCAGCAGCATTGGAACCCACCAGAAGCCCTAAGGCCTGGCAGCTGCTCCACCTCAAGGTATGCTGGCACCATGATCTGAACCAGGGATGAGGTGCCGTTCTGAAAACAGAGGCTAGCTCTGACCCCTACATGTAGGGACGGCGCAGTTTCTCCTTTGGCCCAGGGAAGTTGATGTTTTTCTTTTGTCTGGCTTTAAGGTTAAAAAAAAAGCTACAAGCCACATGAGTCATGGCTGGGCTGGGGGTGATGCTGTCCAGACGTCCCCCCCTTCTTTGCAAGGGCTGCCTGCAGCTCATGTAGAGAAAAATCTGCCATATCTTTTCTGCCATCACATAAAGAACGCAGGGAGTTGGGAAACTACAGGAATGAGATGCATGGGCAGGGAGGGAAGATGAGCATTTTCACAGCCTGCAGCTTGCCTCCTGCAGCCATTCTCCCCAAATACTTCCACGATTCTGCACTCTCTTCCCTTTTGCTTCCTGAATGGGATCCACTACTCACTGCTTTCTGGGTTTAAACATCTATGAAGGACACGTGACTATTATACCAGTAGAAGGCTGGTATCTCAGATGATCAAAGCCTGCCTTAACAATATAGAAGCATGATTCACCATTTTCAGTACTGGTGGTTTTCAGACTAGACCTGTTTTTTTTGTTTTGTCTTTGGTTTGTGTATTGTTTTGTAATCTCTTTTTTAGGTCCCCCACCCTCGGGAGGGGGGAGAAAAATGGCCTTAAAAATACTTAAATAAGAAAAATGTCATTTTTGCTTTCAGACGGAAACTAATCTGCCTGATGATTTCTTCAATGAAGACACTTCTGGGCTATTGGAATTAAGAAGCACTCCTGCAGCTGTTGCAGCGAAACTGGGGTTAGTAGCATTGGACTAGATTTGGTTTAATAAATAATACTTTTCACCCTAGGGACATAATGTGTAATTCATTGGGGCCTTCTTCTCCAAATACCTCATTGAAATGGAAGGCAATTTGTTTTCTGGCTAGGCCCAGAAATGGTTGGAGAGGCCTTCTTTTGGTTACCTAGCAACCTCAACATGCTTAACTCTTTCTCTTCCCTCTATGGCAAAGGTTCTTAACCTTCAATCCACTACCATCCACCAAATACACATCATTACCATTGCAGCCCAGGCACCCTGAGCCATAAATTAAAACATTAAGACATCATTTGTATTTTCTAAACCATAAAGTTTTTAACTTTATGTACCTTACCTGAGAGGCATCCCATCTATACTGCATTGTTTCAAAGCCTGGATTCATGAAGCTTTTATTGCCAAACTACTGACCCTCTTTATGTGGTACATAGTTAGAAAAGGATCTTAAAATATATTATATAACTTTAAAAAGTCTGAAATGAGTGTGCTATCAATATATCCATACTGTATTATTAATAACATACCAGCTGTTCTCACTTCAATCACCAATTGCATACCAAAGGTATGCCTAGGCATTGATGATACTTGAGTAGAGAACATGTGCTCCAACATTTGGCTGAGTAACAGCAGCATCCTAAACAGTGCTTACACCCTTCCTAGCCCATTAACTTAAATGTTCTTAGAAGGCTGTAACTCTGTTTAGGATTACATTGCAAAATAGGTATGCTTACTTAACATTACATGTATATGGGAGTTATGGAACGGAGGCAGTTCACTTGCTGATTCAAGGCTTGTGTGTGTGGGTGACGAAGTAGTGAATGATGTGTAGGCAAATGTCAAATCAGCCCTGAGATCAAATGTATCGCTAACCACCATCTTTTACAAACCGAATGTCTAGTTTTATGTAAGATACGGAACATTATTATTTGTGTATTTTACCTTGCTTTTCAATCAAAAGTGACATTTCCCAAATGCCCTACGGTGAGGAAAACCTATTACAAATATCAACTAAGAAACAAAATATAATGCTAGCAACATTCTTGCCTGATGAAAGGGGGGCTGGTTGTTTCCCTTTCTCTCTCGAGGGGAGGAGGACACTCTGATATGCTTCTCTGATATGCTTCGGTTCCTCTTCCCACAATCCCTGGAGACAGGAAATTGATTGCACTTTCCATCTCTGGAGGGGGCAGGAGCCCACCCTCAGACTTTTTCCTGCCTCCGCCTGAGAAGAAGAAGAGTTATTTTTATACCCCACTCTTCACTACCTGAAGGAGTCTCAGAGTGGTTTACAATCTCCTTCCCTTCCTGTCCCCACAACAGATACCCTGTGAGGTAGGTGGGGTTGAGGGTGTTCTGAGAGAACTGTGACTGGCCCAAGGTCACCTAGCTCAGCTGGCTTTATGTAGAGGAATGGGGGAATCAAACCCGGTTCTCCAGATTAGAATCCACTGCTCTTAACCACTACAGCAAGCTGGCTCTTGCCTGATGGAAGGGGGCCTGGTTGCTTCACTTGAGGGAAGGAGAACACCCCGATATACTTGGGTTCTGATACACTTGAGAGAGCAGTGGATTTAGAGAGCTCCTGAAATTTTCCTTTATGAAGCTCCTTTGGTTGCACTTTGTTTTTGTTTTTCTCTTTCCATGTGTGTGCCTTTCCCTTTGTTTAAAAAAGACACACACTTTGTTTGTTCTTCTGACCTCGTCTTCCCAAGGCTGTTTGCCTTTTGCCCGCTGCTTTAAAAAAACACACACTTTGTTTGTTCTTGTGACCTCGTCTTCCCAAGGCTGTTTGTCTTTTGCCTGCTGCTTCAGTCATGGCTTCAGTCATGGCAATGTCTGCAGCTGAGGTCTCCGACCATGGGACCCTCTCCAAAGGAGAGCTGATCCCCAGGTAGCAGAGTAGGAAATCCCTGCAAACCCGCTTGCCCAGCTGTGCCGCTGTGGCAGAGCTCCTGGAAAGAGCCATAGGCCAAGAATCGCCCGGCTCGGATCATGAAGAATTAGGCTCGAATTTTGGCACTCTCTACTCATCAGCCAGGATGGCCTGTATCAGTCCATCAGGCCTGCTCAGCGCAACCTTCTGCAGCCATCAGAGTGGTCAGTCTCAGTCGAAGGGAGACAATAGCTCCCCCAACCAGGCTTCCAGGACTGGCTAGAACAATTTGTCTCCAATCAGAGAGTAGAAAAAAAGAGCTTCTTTACCCTCCCAGAAAAGATGATGTGAGGCCTCATCCTCTCCAGTCAAACACTTTCAAAAAAATTAGCTACAAGGCCTGTAGACACAGAAACACCGAGGCTCCTCTTGACCAAAAAAAAGCTGCTTGTAAAAGCACCTTCCCCATTAGGAACAATTGTTCAGATTTCTCAGACTACAGATTTGAAGATGGGGATTCCCCCTTTGGCTCTGAGGATTCTAATGCAGATCTGGACAAAGAGGAAGACCAGTTGTCTGAGGATGAAGTCCCTCAGCAGAGCAAGCCAACTCACTGCCTTTTTTCTCATGAGGAGCTCCCCGCTCTCTTACATGAAGCATTAAAAATCCTACAGCTTTCTGTCCCTAAGGTAGAAATCCTGAAGGAGGAACAGGATGATGATGATGATGATGATGATGATGATGAAAAAGGGCCCCCTGAGGTTTTCTCTAGGGTTAGAGATCTGGGTTCAACTTTTCCCTTCCCTTCCTTTTTAAAAACTGAGATTTTTAAACCATTCACATTCTGAACAGGCTAAAAGAATGTATTCTTTTCCTCCCAAGGTAACCAGCTTACTGAAAGTTCCAATGGTAGATGCTCCTGTGGTGCTAACTTAGCATCAGGGGTGGCTCTTCGAAAAGAGGGAGAGGGCAACCTTAGAGATCCCAATGATCAAAAAAGTGACTCAGCTCTCCTCAGAGCCCACAAGGCCATTGCCTTCTCCATTAAAGCTTCTGCTGCCACTTCCCTGAAGGCAAGACCCTCATACATGTGGCTTTGTAAATTTTCCCAAGAATAACCAGATTTAAATAAGTGCCTGTCCAAGTTACATGCACAATCTGGAGAGGGCAGCAGCCTTCATGTCTAATGCTAGCCTGGACAGGATCCAGTCCTCAGCAAGAGCAATGACTTCCACAGTAATAGCCAGAAGACATCTCCAACTCAAGTCCTGGAACATCAACTCCTTTTCTAAGTCTCATGTGGCAAGCTGTTTGGGGATAGCCTAGAGGACATCTTAATTGAGACCAAGGACAAGAAGATGGTCCAGTTATTCACCTATAAGAGGGAGGGCAGACAGCAGAAAAAATTATGGTTCACAGTCCTTTTGTTCTTACAGAACACTTCCATGATTTAGATCAGACTCCAAGTGGCAGTCATGGCCTAACTTCAGAGCCACAAGTCAACGCTACAGTTCAGCCCAAGCACCAGTCTCCATTAAGGGAGGAAAACAGTGGCAACAACAAAAGTGATGCCAGGCTAGCTCTGGTGGGGGGACGGCTTCAAAAATTCCATCAAGCTTAGAATTTATCAGCCTCCGATAAATGGGTGAAAACCCCCATAACCTATGGCTATTTAATAGAATTTGTCACCCCACCTCATGACAGATTCCTGAGCTCACCAGTCCCTCCTTATAAGGTCACATTCACAAGATCAGGCACTCAGGGACATTCAGGACACTATCCAGTGCCTTTCCAGTCATGGCTTCCTAATCAAACTCCAGAAGAGCCAACTACCCAAGTCATCACAGATTTGGGGTCAGTGATAGATTCAATCCAGAAAAAAAATTATTCCGCTAGACAGAGCAGAGAAGATTATTCAGATTGTGAAACAGGTTTGCTCTGTGAAATCAATGGACTTGATGATCCTAGCACATCTGCTAGGTTACATGATTACAGCTACTGAGATAGTCCATTGGGCCCGGGCATACTCTCAGGTACTTCAGTGGACGCTATTGCCATATCAAAGTCTCATAGCCCCCCAAAAGCACATCAGGGTCAGCATCAGTCAGCATTTCAGGAAGGACCTCCTTTGGTGGACAACCAAGAAACACTTGTAGGCAAACCCTTCCAAGTGACCACACACCTACAGATCACAACAGATGCCAGCCTGATGGGTTGGGGGGCCACTGCACACTAGGCCACATCCAGGGGACCTAGTCCCATCAAGAAGCTTCCCTCAACATCAGTCTTTTGGAACTGCATGCAATTTGTCTGGCACTTCTCCACTTCCAAGACCACCTGTCTCAATTGAACATATGTATACAGCCAGACAACACCACAGCCAAGGCACACATGAACTGCCAGGGAGGCAGCAAAGCCAAGAAGCTACAGCAGGAGTCAACTATCCTCATGTCCTAGGCACAGCAGTGGCATAGCAAATGTTCAAGCAGATAAGCTCAGCCACACCAGGCTGGACCAGGGGTAATGGTCCCTCAGCCAGGAAACATTCCAGTCCCTGGTTCTACATTTCGCCCTACCATGCGTAGATATCTTTGTCTCTCCAAACAATGCCAAGACACCCAGATTCTTCTTGAGACACCAGTGTCGACAAGCTGAACAAGTGAACGCTCTGGTGTCCCCTTGGCCATCTGCCTTTCCCCCCATACTTTTGCAAAATGAAAAAGGAGAAGGCAGAGTTGAGACCTTGGTTTTCCAGCCTGCTGAAATCATCAGTTCAACCTCCATGGGAACTTCCACTGTCACCCAGTATGCTAACCCGGGGTCCCATCTGTCATCCAGAGCCAGCTTGGCTTTGTCTGACAGGATGGAGATTGAGCGGCAAGCGTTGATCACACTGGGTTTCTCTGATCAGGTCATTCAGACCATAATGGTGGCCCAGAGCAGCTCCACTTCTAGAATTTACAACAGTTCTTGGGAGGCTTTTGTCAGATGGTGCAAGAGGAAACACCTGCAGCCAGACACCCTGGATCTTCCTCAGGATGGAGTCTTTCAGGGTCTAAGAGCAAGCACTCTCCGTCATTCTGAGTGCCATACTTTCATCTGTTAGTGGTGCGCCACTCTTTGGGCACTCAGCAGTGAAGAGATTTCTGAAGGGAGTTATTTGGCTCAGCCACCTCCAGGTTTTCCTTTAGGAGACTTCATGTCATTCTTCAGGCTCTAACCAGTCCTCCAGAGCCTCTGAGGGAGGTTTCCCTGGAGTTCCTTACCCTGAAGGTTACATCAGCAAGATGGGTCTCAGAGATAAGTGCTCTCTCCATCAGAATGGGCTTATGCATCTTCCAAAAGGACATGGTGGTTCTACGCACAGATCCCACCTTCATTCCCAAGGTTAACTCACCTTTTCACAGGTCAAAGGAGATATATCTACCACCCTTCTGCCCAAAGCTGTCTCATCCTGGGGAGAAGAATGTTTGACTTTTGCAGATACTTTGCATTTATATCAGAAGGACCAAGCCATTTAAAAAGTTGGGTTCCCTTTTTGTGGCTTTTCATCCAGCAATCAAGGGGGAAAGGGTTTCTAAGGCAACACTAAGCAGGTTGTTAAAGGACTGCATCTCCTTGGCATTCGAATCTCAGGGCCTTCAAGTCCCAGAGAGGTTCACAGCTCATTCAACAAGAAGTGCATCTACATCAGCAGCGTTTGACACAAATGCATCCATTGCAGATATCTGCAAGGCCGCTACCTGAGCCTTGATGTCAACATTTATCAGGCACTACAAGATGGACTCTATTGCCACAGCTGATGCAGCATTTGGCGGAGAGTCCTACAGCAAGGTCTAGTCCTACTGTTATCTCTATGCTTGGCAGTCACTTTTCCCTCCCTGGATCTGATGCGCTTTGTAGCATCCCAAGTGTATCAGAGTATCCTCCTCCCCTTGAGAGAGAATGAGACATTGAACTTACCATGAAGGTTCCTTCTTCTCGAGGGTGAGGAGGACACTCTGGACTCACCCTAGTTAGGTTTCTGTTCAGCATATTATGCTTCCAGTGACTGACTGCCAATCTCCATGTTCATTGTTCTTTCACTCTTCTAACCGTTTATCTTTACCTGTATGGTTGGTTTCATAGGGTTCTGTAAACCTTGCTGTCTGTTTGTTTGGCACACATTGGGGGCTGTTATCAGTTGCGGAAGTCTCCAGACTGAGGGTGGGCTCCTCCCTATGGAGGTGGAAAGGGCAATCAATTTCCTGCCTCCAGGGATTGTGGGAGGAGGAACCCAAGAGTATCAGAGTGTCCTCCTTGGTTATGAGAAGAAGGAACCTTCACCTTAAGTCCCGTGTTCTGTTCTGGCCTTAGAAATGGCAGTACGTTAACTAGGAGCAGGGGAACTCTCAGCTGGACTACCTGGTAGGAGGGCTATCTGGGAAGATGGGAGCCCCTTAGTAAGTCATGGTGGTGCAATTCCATGCAGAATCCTATGAAATCAATGTGCTTAGACTGGAGTCACTCTCCATAGGACAGCGCTGTTATTAGATCTTAATCCTCAGTGCAAGAAACAGTGTGCCTGCAATTTATCCATCTTGTTTGCGCTATGCAGATTCATAGCTGGAGTGATCAAAAGGGAAAGGATGGGCCCCTTTGAACGTTTGCTATGGAGAGCCTGTCGAGGAAACATCTACCTGCGGTTCAGTGAAATGGACACTCCCCTGGAAGACCCGGTCACTGTAGGTGTACACAAGTCTTTCATTTTGCTACCTCTAGTTTTATATTTGGTATGCATTAGCTGTAAATTGATGCTGTTTGGTTATGACATGTAAAAATCTATTTACGTTGCATTTCTTTCTCTCAGCAAGAAGAGATGAAAAAGAACGTCTTCATTATCTTCTATCAAGGGGAGCAGCTCAAACAGAAGATCAGGAAGATTTGCGAAGGGTAAAAAAACCCCACACACATACTATTGAGAAAACAGCAGACTTTGTTTGCCTGTTGCGAGTGGCCAAAAGAACCTGGAAAAGAAATAAGAGTTCTGTGCAGATGTTCACTGGGAAGGGACTGTGGCTCAGTGGAAGAGCCTCTGCTCTCCACGTAGAAAGTCCCAGGATAAATCCCTGGTGAAGTGAAAGACCTCAGAACCTGGAGAGCTGCCACCAGTCTGAGCAGACAATATGGACCTTGATGGACCGATGGTCTGATTCAGTGTAAGACAGCATCACGTATGTGGTCATGTGTGAGGCTTGGATTGCCGGCCCACATGACATGTCCACCCTGTCCCTTCCTGAGGTTTGTATGTGGGAGTATGGACCTTGATTTTGTGGTCTACAGATCACATGAGTAGGTCTAGCTCAGTAGGTATCTGAGAATAGTGATGCTAGACTCCAGGTGGGACCTGGGGATCCTGGGGAATTACAGCTGATCTCCAGACTGCAGAGATCAGTCCCCCTGGAGAAAATGGGATGGTTTGGACGGTGGACTCTATGGCATCGTTCCCCGCTGAGGTCCCTGTCCTCCCCAAGGCTACATCCCCAAATCTCCAGAGGAGTTTCTCACCCTGGATCTGGCAACCCTATCTGAGAACCATATCATGTAGGGTATTTATACGGCGCTTCCCTGTGCCTCAGGACCTAGAGGTATCCTAGATGATTCTTTTGGACAGGAAGGCTCCCCAATATTACCACTGCATCATGGATCCCGCTGCAATGAGGAAGCATTTTTTTAGGGTGGAAAACCAAGGTGCTTTATAAAAGTGTGACTTGGGCTCAAACAGTTGAACCCCTTCCTATCATTCTGCATCATCCACACAGGGCCCCCACCCCCACATTGCATAGCAATGTGCTTAGCATTGCTGGCTCTGGGTTGGGAAATTCCTGGAGATTTGGGGGGGGGTGGAGCCTGGGGAAGGCAGGACTTGGGGAGGGAACGTAGCAGGGTACAATGCCGCCTCCAAAGAAGCTATTTGATCTGTGTCAGCCACAGAGGTCATTTCGGGGGGGTATTGTCTGCCTCTGAGTATCAACCCTGGAATTCCTTGGAGGTCTCCCATCCAAGTACTAACCAGGGCTGACCCTGCTTAGCTTCCAAGCTCTGATGAGAGCAGGCTAACCTGGGCTATCCAGATCAGGGCTTTGTCAGTTATAAAAGCAGTATGCTAACATGCAGTGTTCAGTGGAGTTGCAAGGCTGGCAGCGGTGGCCGGGACCGTTGGGGGCGGGGTGTGTGGCCTTATGACACACTTCTGGTGATGTCAGGGGGTGTGGCCTTATGACACACTTCCGGTGATGTCAGGGTGTGTGGCATATGCTAATGTGTTATGCTAATGAGTTCCCCTAGCTCTTTTTCTACGAAACGACCCCTGGTCAGCCACAGATCAGTTGTAATACCAGCATATCTCCAGGCCCTACGTGGAGTTTGGCCATGGCAATGTGCTCAAGTTATGGTGTGCCTTAGGCAGAGAGCCAGCTGCACTAATAGAAAAGAGCTTCAGAGGAGCCATGCGCTGAGTCACTGTGTGTGCTTCGGAGCAGGTACTACATCATCCTTCACTTTATCAGGCACCAACAGACCCTGACAAATATCAGTTTTCCCATCAGTCTGGAAAGAGTAGCATATGCATATGTGCACAAGGCCATGATTCAAATCCAAAGCCAGAAGGGATTTAACACTTCAGTCTCGTTAATTGAAACAGAGCTCCCCACACTGTCATTAGCATTTTAAAGAGGGGGAAATTATGTCCTTAAAACAACTGTTTTTTAAAAAGGTCAGTATAATCAGGGTGAACCTACCTTCAAGGCGTCCCATTACTCTTTTGGGCTTGCGAATGCTCTGAGGGGGGAGGAGGGGCTTTGCCCATGAAAATAGCTGTTTGGGGGGGGCTGTTTGCCCCTTCCTTAGGCTCCAGAGGTCTATTGCAGCACACACGAAGCCCAAGGAAGGAGGTAAACAGGCTGGTAAAAATGACGTGGGACCGAAACGGTGGAAATAATCAACGGACTATGAGTGACACACCATGAAAACTTGATTCTTAACAAATATTCAATATATTATTATAATCTCACATGAAGTGCTGACAACTACAACATATTAGAAATTATATAAACCTTATACACAATTACTCATGAATATGTTAATCCAAAATGTCCTGAATTCATAACAAAGAAACTAATGTTCAAACGTTTAGTGCCCAATTAGTATTCAACAGGAGCGTCCACTCTCTGATAGTGAGCAGCAAGGGCAGCTGATGGCACACAATGGCGGGCATGGCAAGCAGTGCCATCAATTTGCAACTGACTCACAATGACCCCATAGGGTTTTGAAGGCGAGAGATGTTCAGCGGTGGTTTGCTGTTGTCTGCCTCTGCGTACAGACCTTGGTATTCCTTGGTGGTCTCCCATCCAGGGCTTTTTTTCCTGGGGGAATGTGCCGGAACAGAGTTCCAGAACCTTTTTGAGGAAAGAAAATTCTCAAAAAATGTTTAAAATTTAAAAAACAAGTTTTGAAGGAGGGTGTCAAAGAATCCCATGAGTTTCTCCTTCATTTCCCTCTTGAGAGTTCCGACACCTCTTTTTCCAGAAAAAAAGCCCTGTCAAACCGGGGCTGACCTTGCCAGTTGTGGTGGTGGTGGTGGTGGTAAGTACCATTGAGTCCCAGCTGACTTATGACAAGGGTTTTCAAGGCACGAAATGTTCAGATGTGGCTTGGTATTGTCTGCCTCTGAGTATCAACCCTGGAATTCCTTGGAGGTCTCCCATCCAAGTACTAACCAGGGCTGACCCTGCTTAGCTTCCAAGCTCTGATGAGAGCAGGCTAACCTGGGCTATCCAGATCAGGGCTTTGTCAGTTATAAAAGCAGTATGCTAACATGCAGTGTTCCCATTCCTCTTAATGCAGTGGTGCTTAATTGTTAGAGGTGGCCTGCCAATTTTGCAAGTGGTCACAAATCCATGTGCAGATTTAATAAAAAGAGAAGGTGGTGTGAAAACAGTGGGCCTTTCCACCCCATCCTGCTCTCTCTGTCTAGTGAATGCTGAGATGCTAATGTGAATGTTGGAGCAGTTTAATCAATGTGAAGGCTCCCTGGTGAATTCTCCTCCAGCTTTCCTAGATGTATGTGTCATTAGGGTAAAAGTGACATTTTGTATGCAAAAGGGCTGTTAGAAGATCAAAGCTGCACTGCTGCAGTAACGTGGGGGGGGAAGTGTGAAATCTGTGGACTGCAGCAAGGAAGAATAATCTTTCAAGCATGATTAAAAATTCCAATTTAAATATGGGCTAAGAACTCTGAAGCATATGAAACTGAAATAATAATGAGAAAGAGCTAGGAAGCTTTGAGCTGTCTTCCTTTCCAAACGAGATGATTTCATTGGAGATCCAATTTCAGAGCTGGAACTGGAGTGAAGAAGGTGATTATGATTCGAAAGTGCTTCTGCCTGAAACGAAGGAGGCAAAGTAACTGTGTGACTGATTACCTTCCCTTTGCACTTATGGCCATGCATATGCAAGGGCTGCCTTGTGATTTGGGATTACCTGTGTTTAGCTTGGCAAATTATAGTCAGTTCAAGCCTAATGGGGCAAAGCACCAAGGATGTTGGGGGACATTATTGCATCAATAGTCTAATATTGAGTCACTCACACTGTTTGAATTGCTTAATACCTACTTGAGAGAGAGTTGCATGTTGTCAAGGTCACGTTGAGCCAGTGTGGTATATTAGTCAGAACTAGGACTAGGGAGACCTGGGTTCAAATCTTATCCACCTTTCCTAATGATACGTTCTGCATATAGACTGAAGAGACAGGAAGATAAAATTCTACAGAAACAGTTTATTCTTTGCAATTTTGGTGTGGAAAGCAGGGCTATTTTGGGGCAGGAATGTACAGGAATGGAGTTCCGGCTAGCTTCAGAGTTGGCCACGCCCACTACAGCCAAAACCTCTGCATGCGTGGCTATAGAGGGAAGGCCTGGAGAGTGACCCCCCCACGACTCCAAGGCAGGCCAGCCAGGGTGAGGCTGGAAGGATTGGGGAGGCACTAAATGTCTTCCTGTGCCTTCCCTGGCCTGTCCAAGGGCCAGCTTGCCCAGGCAAGCCAAGGGAAAGCATGGGGTGTGTGGCCTAATATGCTAATGAGCTGTGCTGTCAGGGGTGTGGTCTAATAAGCTAATTAGTTTCTGCTGTTGGGTGTGACCTATTATGCTAATGAGTTCCTGCTGGGATTTTTCTACAAAAAAAGCCCTGGTGGAAAGTATATTTGCTGCTGTTATTTACTTGGCTGCGTCCCGTCCCCCCCAAACACATGTTTTTCAAAACTGAAAGCATGTTTGTCTGGCTGCTTGGTTATAGGTCATTCATAATTTGGGAGTTCTGTCTCTATAGTAAGTAGAAAATATATTTTTGATAGTTGTCCTGACATATGGCAACCTGCAGCAGCTATTAATGGCTGGCAGCGCAACTGATCTTTCCAAGAATGCCTACAACAAACCCATTTTTCAATCAATGCCTTGACTGAACTGACATTACCAGAAGTCCCCTGGAAAAGAATTGTGGTATGGCATAGAATACAAATCCAACACTAACATTGCCCCTTGGATTGTGGAGGACGGTATGGCCTCTCTTTTACTGTCATATATAGGAAGGAGCATCTTTTATTGGGCATCTAAAGAACACATGATGCTCAATAAGCCTCTTTTTGTAGCAGGAACTCCTTTGCATATTAGGCGACACACCCCTAATGTAGCCAATCCTCCAAGAGCTCTGTAAATTCTTGGCTACATTACGGGTGTGTCACCTAATATGCAAAGGAGTTCCTGCTACAAAAAGAGGCTATGATATATATTGTTTTATCGGTTTTATTGGTAATTGGGCCACTGCTGTAAGCCGCTCTGAGCCCATTTGCGGGGAGGGCGGGGTATAAATTGAATTAATAAAATAAAATAAAAATAGAGGAGTTAGAAATGGCTAAAATAGTGTTTCCAAACAGAATGAAATTAATAAACCCCAAATAAAATTAGCATATTCTCTGAATGACTAGCCACTTTACAAACCCATCACTGTGCAGATCCTTAGTCACTAACATTAAAGCATATGGAGAAGCTATTCTGTAGACCAGAAAATTCCTGAAGATTTGGGGGGGGGGTACCCACAGAGGGGGCAATTGGGGGAGGGATTTCACCTAGAATCTATGATATACTATAAAGTTTGCCTCTGAAGCTGCCATTTTCTCCAGGGGAAACTGATCTCTATAGTCTGGAGATAAATTGCCATTCCAGGAGAAATCCAGGCCCCACTGGGAGATTGGCAATCCTAAAGCCAGGGCTCACCCCAAGAACAAGGGTTAGATCTAGGGTTACCAACTCTTGGCTGGGAAATACCTGGAGACTTTGGGGTGGAGCCTGGGAGAGATGGGGTTTGGGGAGGGAAGAGGCCTCAGCGTGGTACAATGCCATACAGTTAGGGTTGCAAAGTCCTACCTGTTTGGTGTAGTGGTTAAGGGTGAGGACTCTAATCTGGGAGAACCGGGTTTGATTCCCCACTCCTCCACTTGCACCTGCTGATGTGACCTTGGGTCAGTCACAAGCTCTGGCACAGCTGTCCTTGAAAAAGAGCAGTTTCTGTCAGAGTTCTCTCAGCCCCACCCACCTCACAGGGTGCCTGTTGTGGACAGGGGAAGGGAAAGGAGTCTGCAAACCGCTCTGAGACTCCTTTGGGTAGTGAAGGGTGGGGGTATAAATCCAATCTCCTCTTCTTCTTTTTCCTCACAGGGTGTCTGCTGTGGGGAGGGGAAGGGAAAGGAGTTTGTAAGCCGCTCTGAGATTCCAAGTGAAGGGCGGGGTATAAATCCAATCTCTTCTTCTTTTTCTTCTTCTTCTTCTTACCGAGTGGGGAGTTCTGGGCCCTTCCTGAGCCAACTTAGGCTGGAATGGGCGGGATAGAAATCAATAAAATCAATAAAATCAATACATCTTCTGCCCCATGCACTTTGAGTGTGTGCCGTAATGATGTCATCCGGAAGTGATGTCATCGCATAGCTGTGTGACACTCTAGTTTTTGGGCAAAACGCTATGGGTTTTTTAATTTCAAAACCATAGAGTGTGCCCAAAAACTAGAGAGTCACCCCCGATGTTAGCAATGCGATGATGTCACTTCTGGGTGACATCATCATGATAGGGACATCACACAGCAACATGCCTTTCTAGGGGTGGGGCTTCCCTCACCGGCCAGCAGACTGGAGTCCTGGAAATTGGGGGAACCCCATCCTGACAGGGGAGGTGGCAACCCTACATACAGCCTACCCTCCAAATCTGCCATTTTCTACAGGGAACTCATCTCTGTAGTCTAGGGTTGCCAGATCCCCCGGTGGAGGTGGGGGTTCCCCTCCACCAGGCCCCATGGCCCAACTGCTGATCAGCTGGCTGGTGGGGGGACTTACCCTAGAAAAGAGCAAGGCCCAGCTGACATTGCAGCAACATGTCTATGTCACATCTGACATGACCCAGAAATGATGTCATCAAGAAGCCAGATTTACCATAGAGTTTCCCCCCCAGATTCCAGGTGTCGCCCCAATGTTGCTGAGTAATGATATAACTTCGAGGTCACATGGGAAGTGATGTAGACACATCACTGCAATGTCAGCTGGACCTCCCTCCCATGGTAAGCCCCCCCATCCCGTGCCAGTTGCCAGGAGGGACCTTGGAACCCTAGTGTAGTCTGGAGGACAGCTGTAAATCTGGGAGATCACCAGGCCCCACCTGGGATTGGCAGCCATAGGTAGGCCCCAGTATCATTGCATGCACTGCAAGCTTACATTGTTCACACCAGAAAAACACTTCATTTGGGAGCAGTGCTGTAGTGGTGTTGGGGATAAATCCCATCCGTTAATGGATGGTTCAGCTTTCCTCCCATCCCGTGCTCTGTTGTGCCATGAAAAGGGCTTTTTTGGGCCACCAACAGCCCATGATGCTAGCTTATGAAGGCTGGATCCCATTTTAAGAAACCTGAAGTCTTTTTCCTTAGCTTGGGATAATACATGGGATGCTGCAATGACCTATGTCTGACCTTCCACTGCTGCAAAGAAGGATTGCCTTTTCTTTCTCTTTGTAATTAATTTGGTAATTGCAAGAAGAATGACCTAACAAATAGCTGTATTTTTTTTTTTTGCAACGGCATGATATGATGGTGCTGCGAAGACCTGGTGGCTTGGTAGAAGTATCTGTTAACCAAAGACTCATGGCTACATGTACTAGCGTGGACCATGAGAATATTCTTGCTTTACTGAAGAACTATGGCTGCCATTTTCCTGTCAGGAATAAAAAAATGGAAAAATCCTCCATATCATTCCCCTCCCCCCATTTTTTGTATTAACTTCATCTGTGTATCTCACTTTTCTTGCTATTTTCCTATCAGGAGCAGGGGATGCCCTGCTGTCACAACTCAGGTGCGGTGTCACCTGATGCTGCCACCACTCTAGGTTCCCTTGAGAAGGCCCAGAGTACCCTCCCAAGACCTTCAAACCTCCCTTTTGGCCGAATAATAGGCATGAGGACCAGGCAGAGTAAAACAAGGAAAAGGTTTATTTTATAGGAGCTCAAACAACAAGGTGCAGAATAATAACAGTAAGTGAGTGAAAAGAAATCTAATGCCCTAACGCGTCTAAATATACTTTCCCTAGCTCACTATCTCACGTGGCTTTACACTACTCACCCTGTCCTCAGGATGAGGGTCTCTCCCCTGCAGCAGCCTTTCATCCAGCTCTGCCCTCTGGAAGAAAGCTCTTCCTGCTGCTCCAGAACTTTTATTCCAAGCCCTCTTCTTTTCCTATTGGTCAATTTTGGCTCTAAAATTTCCCAGAGGTTTCTGGGAGTTGTAGGCCCAGCCTCACCTACTGCTAGCCAGGCTCTCTGGGCCTAGTAGGCCTCTGGTAGCACAGCCCAGATCATGACACCTGCCTTCAGCTCTTATTTCCCACCTCCATAAGGTTTTTACCATAAAGTTTCCAGCAATTCCTAGAGAGGGGTGTGATGTCACTTGAGTTTTCCCCAGAAGTGACATCATGATTTCTGATAGTGCCTCTCCATGTCCCTGTGCCCCTGGACTCCTGCTTGTTGCCAGGCCATGCCAAGCAACCCTATGTAGAACAAATATCTTTGTACACAATAGCAGCTGTTTCTTTGTCTTGCTTCTTCACTAGATTCCGTGCCACAGTGTATCCCTGCCCTGAGTCTGCTGCAGAACGGCGAGAAATGGCCGATGGGGTGAATACAAGGATTGAGGATCTAAACACAGTAGGTGGCTTTGGCCTTGATCCTTAGGGTTCTATTTACCCGCTTATGATGGGAGACTTCCAGTCAACTGTAGTCGTGGCCTACCAAAATTCAGCTGATTGGATGGCAGAAACTGGGGTGAAAGGAGGGCGCATGATTGTCATAGGGAGCAAAAATAAAAATAAGGCCTTGTAGACTTTCAGGAAGTTGCGGGCATAGAGTTCCTGGCAATTCATAGAACTACCCAGAAGTGATAAGGGTAGCTCTAGCAATAGCCAGAAACACTATGGTAGACTGGTGTCACTAACCGTATATTGTAGAAGGGAGACTGTGGCTTGCAAAGGTCAGCTAGTTAATTTAGAGTAGAAGTAGGATCTGAAGTAGAGACATCCTGGATTATGCTGATGAGCTCTTAGGTGAAAGTTGATAGAATATCTGAAGAAAGACAGAAAGTGAAGATGATGTCAAGTCATTAAAAATAATTAATGCAGAAAAAGATTATTGTCAAAGTGTTTAGTGATCACCTCTGAGCAAATACTTAGATGGACTCAAGCAATCCAGTGATTATGTGGGCCAGCCAATCAGAAGCGTGTACATTTTCCATGTGCCAGAATTAAAATTTGGGCATTTTCTGAAGATAACTTGACTGCGAGCAGTATTTGATATCACTAATATCGGTTAATTTGTTTAGCAATCTAGTAATATACAACATAAACCATGAAGTTTTAAAATGATGCTGGTATCAGGTTGTACCTGGACTTTCTGGAAGTAAGAAGCGGTGTCTCCCTTTTGCCAAAACAGAGGCCAGCAATGGTTCCTATATCCTTCTGACGCCAAGCAAGATTCAAAGATCCCTCGTAGGCTTTTTTGGGGGTGGGTCCTAATAAAAGGTACTACATGGATTACATTCTTGATTCTGATTTCTGCAGATGGGAGAGGTTCTTTCTTTTGGTGCACAGTGAAGGAAATACAAAGAGCCTTGTGCTATTGGCAGGAATAGAAACTTCAGGCAATTTTAAAGAGATCCCAGTGGCTGTGGTTTAGGAATGAGGGATCCAAAGTTGAATGACCCCAATGATAGGGAACATGTGCATTACAACCTGGAGGCATAACTCTCTAATAAGTATTGAACCTATGTTTTTCATGAAAAGTATGACCTAAGGCCGATGCTTTCCTCCCAGGTGATCACCCAAACAGAGTCCCTCCGTCGGGAGCTGTTGCAGCAAGCGTTTACAAACTTGTGGACCTGGGAAATCAAGGTGAAGAAAATGAAGGCCATCTACCACATCCTCAACTCGTGTAACATTGATGTCACCCAGCAGTGTGTTATTGCTGAGATCTGGTTCCCCGTGGCAGACACGGGTCGGATAAAGAAGGCCCTGAATCAAGGAATGGTAAGAGGCTGCATCTGGAACTCCTTATTTTTTCGTGATTGTTTTTTGCTTTGGATGAATAGTCACCAAACCCAAATTTCCAGATTTCATGTAAGTTAACGACAGCATAAATTGGGTCTGAATACATTGGGATTCGATTGTGTCAGCTCCATGCAAACAGGATGCCCATTTGTGGATGTCCAGTAGACTCAGAAGTGGACCGATTAGGCAGGATGGAGTGGGCTCAATCTTACGGTTTCCTGTCACGTGCGGCCGTGTCTGAACCAGACCCTTTTGCAGTTATTCCTACACAGTAGAAAGTCTTTATGACGAAAAAAAGAAAACAAAGGAAACAGCTGCTGTCAACTCGATGATATGTAATTGTGGGAGCTTCATAAAAGAAACCCATGATCCTCGGAATGTGCCAGGCATCAAACAAATAATCTGTAGACTGCTAACAGCAGCTGTTTTCATTTCAATTTTCTTTGCCATTACCATTTTACAGCTGTTTGACCTATGCTTCGCTATATATAGAAAATGTTATATTGCAACCAGTCCGTCATATCAGCTGCTGCTTTTGATATATAAGCAGGCATGCTGAGAATTCTTCAGCAAACCTCTTTGCCAGGTGATCATACCTTGCTTGAATTCCTTTGGTTATATGATGAACTCCTGATCCGATCCTCTCCACGTTCCCTGGTGAAGTTAGATCCAAGCAATTTAGCACCTGTGAAGGACCTGCATGGTCACTGCAGCCTCCAGCTGCTTTTGTCCAGTCCAAGTACTAGATTATCTCATTTACACGAAGAGAAGCTATATCACCCAGAGTCATGGTCATTACCCCCAATCATTACACCAGCTGACTTGGATGCAGCATAGACTTGCTTCCCCTGTTTTGTATCTGAATAACGAGATGCATAATTTAAATGAATGGCATCAGATAGAATGCATTGCCTGCTTTTTTATTTATTTATTTATTAAATTTATATCCCGCCCTCCCCCGTAGGGCTCAGGGCAGCTTACATAGCAAGAAATCTTGCAATAATAAAAACATCAAGTACAATTTAGTAGCATTTAAAACATATTATACAATTTAAAACCGTCTCGGTACAATAGAGTGCTCAAAATCCTCAGCTCTCAAACCTCAGAGAGATGACCACATCCAAACAACCCCGGTAGGCATTTCGTGTCCTCAATATCAGATGTTGAATTCAGATGTTTCTTTCAGATGTTTCTTTCTTCCTTCCTAGGGCCTTCCCCCCCCCATGATGGTAGTATAACGGGGGGGCGGCGGCGGCCCCTAATCAAAAGCCTGGTGGAAGAGCTCCGTCTTACAGGCCCTGCGGAACTGCATCAGGTCCCGCAGGGCCCGGATCTCCTCCGGGAGCTCATTCCACCAGGTGGGGGCCGCCACCGAAAAAGCCCTAGCCCTCGTGGTGGCCAATTTTGCATCTTTGGAGCCCGGCACAGTTAGTAAATTTTGGGCCCCGGACCGTAGTGCTCTTGGGGGAACATATGGGGAAAGGCGGTCCCTGCACCTCTGCAGTCCATGGCTTCTATTCAAGATGAAGCAGTTGCAACTGATTCATAAGATTAATTAGTTTTCATGGGCACAAATCAAAGGCACACTGGGCTACCTAAATAGTAAGTTTCAACTCAAAAACATCTAACTAAAGTACCATGTGATTTTTAAAATTGGAGGAGGCTTCAGCAGGCGAGCTGTAGTGGGAAGAGCACTACTATGAGAAAACTGTCTAATCATGCAAAAAAGCATTGTAAGCATACAAATGAAAATGTCTAAATTCATTCAGATGCAACTGAGCAGGTCACTGAATGATCAACACCCTGCTGACAACTGAACAGCAGGGCATGAGCCAAACCAGCACACTTCTGTGCCCAGGCACTTAGAGAACTATCTCTAAATGCAAGGATCAAGTCTGAGACTTGAACCTGGTCATTCAGGGGAATATGGAACCTGTTTGGATTGCAAATCTGATCTAATCAGATTTCACAATAATCTCTACTTGAAATCTGATACATTAGAGACCTCCCTTATGTACAATAAACATGAGTGTATTGTGATTACAATTGAAAGTTATGTTTTGCTATTTTTGATGTGTCAGAACCCACTTTGAATCGTTGAAGCAGAGTCCATTGATAAATAAAAAAATGAAAGATATCAATACTTTGAATGATTTGCAGTGCAATTCTAAACTGAGTAATATCCTTCTAAGTGCTTTGATTTCAAAAGACTTAGTAAGTCTTCTTACAATTGCACTATTAGCACCTTATGACAAAGTTAGAACATATCTTCAGTACAAACTTATTCCAATTTAAGAAAGGAATCCTGGGAGTTATAGTTCAGTGAGTACATTTGAGTTGCCTTTCATAAAACTCTAATATTTCCAGGATACTTTGTTAGATTCTATGGTGATTGAACAGGTGCCAGACCAGTTTTTAGACTGTGATGTAAGTACAACCCTAGTTATTAGCATCTGATTACAGGAACGTAGTGGCTCTACAATCAACCCTATTCTGACAGCTGTCCAGACCAAGATGGCGCCTCCTACTTTTAACAGAACCAATAAATTCACTGCAGGTTTCCAGACAATTGTGGATGCCTATGGTGTGGGAACTTACAGAGAGATCAATCCTGGTAAATGGAGCATTTTATTTTTGCTGTTCCCTATTTTGAAGATTTGGGTTGATGGGACCTTTCTTCTTGTTGATTGTTGTTGCTTCAGGTGGGGCGCTTGTCTGAAGTATGCATCAGGATTTGGGCATTGGTAAATCAAGAAAAGTAGGCAGTGTGGATTCATAATTGTTTTTATTCCAGGAAGGTGTATTTAATTTTTATCCCACCCTTCCTTCAAGAAGCTTAGGGAGAACATACATGATATCCCCTCCTCTATTTTGTTTATTCTTACATCAGCCTTGTAAGGACAGTTACAGGGAGAGAGAGGGATTTGCCTAAAGTTACCAGATGAGCTTCACGGCAAAAGGAGGATTTGAACCTGATTCTCCCCATTCTAGTACAACATTTAACCCTTGTAGCCATGCCCATTGCAGCAAAAACAACAGATCCTGCGGCATCATACAAAATAAGAACTATACTATGGTGTAAATTTTTGTGGGCTGGAACCCACTTTGATAAATGCATAAAATACTGCTGTTAATGTGGTCTGCAAGGGTTAACCACAAGTTAATGTGGTCTGCAAAACATGCCCCAACTCACTTGGAAAATGGCCCCCTACCTTGACTCATCCAATCTGGCCACCAGATCCATGCCACAGTAAGATCAAGACTACTGTAATGAACTCTACATAGGCCTCCCCTTGAAATCAACTCAGAGATTCCAGTTCCTACAGAATGCCGCAGCTCAGTTGTTATTGGGAGCTAGGCAAACAATGCATATTACATCCATTGTGCAATCACTCCATTGGCTGCCCATTTGTTACTGAACTCAATTCATGGTATTGGCTATCACAAAGTACTTCACGGTCTTGGTCCCCTTGTATCTGCGAGACCTCCCGCTGTGACAACTTTGCTCATCTGGGCTGGGCCTTCTGCAGGTGCCCCCCTGCAGATGGGCGAGATCAACCCCTGCCTGTACACGCCTTCTTTGTAGCTGCCCCCATTCTATGGAATGGCCTGCCTGAGGAGGGCAGAAAGGCTCCCAGGCTCCTGGAATTTTGCCAACTACGTAAAACAGAATTGTTCAGGAGGGCATTTTTGTAAAGGAAATAGGGCTGCATCACAACAGATTGGCCCAGGAAAATGCACTGTGTTTCTACTGATGCAATACTGTGTTCTGAATGTTGAAACATCATTATTAATACTTACGTTTTGTTCAGATGACAGCTCCATTTCAAATTTCTACAGTTCCTAGTCCTATTGTATTGTACATTAAATTGACAGCTCTATTTCAAATTTCTACTGTTCCTAGTCCTATTGTATTGTACATTAAATGTATCATTCTATTAAATGCATTCATTTATATTGTGTAATCCACTTTGAGTCTCAGTAAGAAAGGTGAACTATAATAAATGAACAGTCAATAAATGGTTACTTTTTGTGCTGTATTCTCTCCTTGAAGGGAAATCATTGCTCGGTACAATCACTGTTGCTCAGTTCTCAGAAGGCAATTCTGTATCCAGAATTAATTTCTGGGGCAGAAAAACATACTTCTTGTATGGAAAAGAAGCTTGATTAAATACCTTTCCTTTACTCCTAAAGGAGCTACTGACAACTCTGTATAACAGCACCATCTACCGATTCTAGTTGAGATCACAATTTAAAGTCCTCCCAGTACTAGTTGAGATCACAATTCTAGTTGAGATCACAATTTAAAGTCCTCCCAGTACTAGCTGTGTTCCTCCAGCAGACTTCTATTTGTGGTGTCCTGTCTTAAGATTCTCTGCAGGACATCGTTTAGGCCACAGACTTTTCCTGTGGTTGAGCTAGTCTTCTGGAGTGGCTTACCAAAGTGGATAAGGAGGGCTCCTTTACTTCTTGCATGTGCAAAGGCCTGTTAAATGGGGTTCTTTCTGAGGGCACTGGGTAAAGGTCAAATTGTTTTGGTAGATATTCCTGCAGTTTTAATCTGTCTGTTTTTATCTGTGTGCTGTTTTCTGCTGTGAGGCGGTTGTTACGTTGTGTTTGTGTCCTTGCAACTTCTTGTTGCGTTGTTAGCTGCCTTGAGTCGAAGGAGATAAGGCTTGATATAAACACTTTCAATCAATCAATCAATCAATCAATCAATCAAGACAACATGACTTATAGCAAGGAATGCTGATATTGTTACAAGCTGGGCTTGAACTTCAGGAGGGTTTTGGCTCATCTCATAGTGGCCCACTGTTTTCTGAACTAGGCAAGTCTGTTTCTGACCCACCCACAAATTCTGAATATTGGCATGATCACAACATATTGTAATAGAAGCCCAGCATGTCCAAGTCTGCTGTATCCAACCTGGATTTTGGCTTTTATGCTGACAGTTATAATTATGCTTTAACAACTGACTTCCTTTTTAGGCAGAAATTTTAAATGTTTTTCCCCTTTCCACAGCTCCCTACACTGTAATCACCTTCCCATTTCTGTTTGCGGTGATGTTTGGTGATTGCGGTCACGGTGCTGTTATGCTTGGTTTTGCTCTCTGGATGGTCATGAATGAAAAATCTCTTCTAGCCCAGAAAAACGATAGTGAGGTGAGTGTCCTGAGTGAAATTATATCCATATTTGCAACAAATGTCAAGCATTGTTCTAGGTCTGGTGAACTAATTCCTTTCAAGACTGGTAATACGGGGCAGAGCAGGGATAGGAAGAAACACAAAGAACAGCCTTTTTGGACATTTGCATGCTTCATGGACTATTCTAATTATTCCTCGGATGTGCTGATTGTCATTCTGTGCAGATCTGGAATACCTTTTTTGGCGGCCGCTACCTAATCTTGCTCATGAGCATCTTCTCCATCTACACGGGCTTCATCTACAATGACTGCTTCTCCAAGTCATTCAACATATTTGGGTCTTCCTGGCATGTCACCCCCATGTTCAATAGTACATGGACGTAAGTGGTAAACCAGTTGTTTGTGAGACAAGATACTCAAAATATGTGGTTACTTCATAAAATAGCAGTTGTGTGTCCTTATGCTCCCCCCCATAACATTTCGTGGAATTTTATGCTTGTCATGACATCAAAACATTCCACATTTCCCTTCCCTTGTTTTCAGAGTTTTATTATTTCTGGATGTTGAGTGCTTTTTTGGAAACTGGCAAAAACTGGAATAGTAGTACTTAGTGGAAATCACTTTGTGTGTATGCTGTATACAACTGCTTAGTGTGAGTAATGCAAATTTGCATTGGTCTGCACTACCAACGATCACAATAGGACACGAGATGGTAACACTAATATATTTACACACAGAGGACAGAATTAACAGACTGATTCTAGAACTAATACTAAAGGGAATAGAAGCTTGTCGACACATACTATAACAAACCAATCAGGAACACCACAGAAAGGCTAATATCAAAGCGTCAACTCAAAGAGAACAATATTGGCACAGGAAAAGAAGGAACTTGAAAGGGTTGGTTACAGAGAATCCAAAAGGCCCTGCTTAAGTTCCTCATCCATCACTGTGACTGGCAGAACTGCTGTGGAAAGAGATTTATTGGCACCATTGTATTCTGAAGCCGTATCTGTATTACTATGCAGGAGGGGAATCTTCTGTGTCGGCAACACATCTCCTGATTCTTCCTTTCCCAGGGCCAGCTCACTCACTAGGCATTCGGCTAGAGCACGCTGGCCCTTAGGGGTGCCAAACTGCACCCGCCTCTCGCCAAAAGCCCCCCCCCAAGCCCCGCATCTCCCTGACCGGGTGACCGCCACTGAAGGTAGTCTTGCAGCGGCAGGCCCTAGCCGGGAACCTATGCCCCCGGAGCAGCACATTGGCTGGGAGCTTCTTCTTCTTTTTTAAACATTTTCTTTATTTATGTTTGACAAACTAACAAAGAGAGAGAGAAAAAGAAAACAAAAAACAAAACAAACAAACAAACACAGAAAATTCCATCTTGATATATAACATCAGGTTGCAGATAGGTTCCATCTTTTCACACAATATATACATTCCACTATCATATCTTATTTGCCAAAACATTTAATTGCTTTCATATATTTATATATATCTTTCATATCCATTTCAAACACAATCAACTGAATTCCGCTACTTTAAGCTAATTTCTTTCCTTTAACCATCTATAAAAATTTAACCAGTATCAAAATTTTCATAACCTTTTTCTTTTAAAATAAAAGTTAATTTCTCCATCTCCGCCACGTCTAATATCTTAGGGATCACTTCTTCTCTAGAAGGAGTTTCCTCATTTTTCCACTTACTAGCATACGAAATTCTGGCTGCTGTGATAATCTGCATCACTAGATATGTTTCATTTTTCTTGAAAGTATCCGGAATAAAATTTAACAAAAGACATTCTGGTGTTAGTGGTATTTTCTTATTCAATATCTCATCAATAATCTCCATTAGCATCTTCCAATATTTTTTAGCTTTACTACATAACCACCATAAGTGGAAATATGTTCCATCGCTTTATTTACATTTCCAACAATTCTTTCCAATTTTCTTATCATATTTATTTAATCTTACCGGGGAAATGTGCCATCTGTAGAACATTTTAATAATGTCTTTAAAAGCACTTGATCTGACCAATTTTACATTTTTCTCCCAGACCTTTTCCCATTGTTCAAAAGTCAAGTTACTTCCTATGTCTCTAGCCCACGCAATCATTGGGGGTTTTACCCATTCGTCTTGCATCTTCCATTCAAGCCAAAAATTATAGGCCTTTTTTATAAATTTCTCTTCAGTACCTGACCATATTTTATCTAATTCAGTCTGATTTTCATAAAACCCTGTTTTTTTGTCAGTTGACCATCTTGAATAGTAATTGTCTTTTTTCCCACCAAGTCATATTTATATCTTCATTGTTTAAAATGTCTTCTACTCTCATATTCCCGCTTACATCTAAAAAACCTTGATATTTCCATTTTTTATATTTAGTATATAAGGAGGGTTTTACAAACGCTTCAATAGGTGAAATCTATCATGGCTTTCTTTTTTTGCCATCAAGTCACAGTTGACTTGTGGTGACCCCAGAGGCAAGGGACATTCAGAGTTGGTTTGGCATTGCCTGCCTCTGCATAGCAACCCTGGACTTCCTTGGTGGTCTACCCATCCACATGCTGCCCAGGTCTGCCCCTGCTTCGCTTCCAGGATCTGATGAGATCAGGATAGCCTGTGCAGGTCAGGGAAAGCATTTAAAAAACGTTCATATATGAGCAGATCCCTAAAGAAAGGGGTGGTTGTAGAACTGGGGACCACAGAAACCAAAGGAACATAGGGTTAGTTTAGACCTCACACCGAACAATTTTGCTGTTGGTGGCTTTTACTTCAACATTGTGTACAATGTCTACTACATGAGGGCCAAGAACCAGGCAGCCAGGTGGAGGAGGCAGAGTGTGTATGTGTGTGTGTGTGTGGGGGGGGAGAGGTTAGCCTGAATGTCACATATTGATTTTATCTACTCACATGCATATCACGCCCACTTGCATCTTGTCTAAGCAGAAGTTTTAAAAAAATATTTTTTAAAAATCCTCTTGAGCACTGATGAATGTGCATCTCACATATTTGGAGTAAACCAAGCCCCTGACCGTTCTCTCTTCCTTCCTTCACAGTCCCCATATTGTGGAAACAAGCGAATCGCTGCAGCTGGACCCAAATATCTCGGGAGTGTTCTCTGGAAATCCCTATCCTTTTGGAATTGATCCGGTAATCAAATACAGATCTTCCTGTTTCAGGCATCTGGCAGGGGATTATCATCAGGAGGAATAAAGCATGGATCCTCTTAAATTCACTTACTGAGCAGTGAGAAAGAAATGGGGATTTGTGCCTAAGATCAAGGCAGCGGTGAGAGCAACCGAGCATTTTTAGGGAAGATATTAGCAAAGCAGAGGCAGTTGTTCAGAAGGCAGAAAGTAGGTCCCAGTCAAAAGCTGTCATCTTTTTCTTTTGTGAGGGCTTCTGCATCTTTTACTGAGCAGGAATTCTACAGGTAAAGGCTTTCCCATAGGCCTATGCTAGGAAGATCTGTCCTTGCTGAATGTCTGCCTGCCCCATAACTGATAAAAACATGGCACTGTGTGAAATGTCAGAGATCGAGCACATGTTCAGTTCAGTTTAGTTTATTTCTACAGTCCTTAGACCAGTCATACAAAAAGAAGTACATCTTTACAGTATTCCAAGATTTTAAAATACATCAGTAAAACATTAAAAGCAGATTAAAATTTAATCTAATATCTTACTGTCATAACTACCTAACTACCTAATTACTATAGAATTTCCGTAATCAGAGTATCACCATACAGAAACTGGCTACTTGGTGGGTAATCTTGGGTTTTCTATCAGATAGAAGAAACTCGAGTCTAGCTTTTTGGAAAGGCCCAGAATTTCTTCAGTCAACAGAGTGATGATTTTATTATGCGCCACGTTACAATACGGGCATCTAAAAAACATGTGCTCTGTAGTCTCAACAACCTCCCTTAACGGGCAGGTACAAAGCCTTTCTGTGAAATGAATATTCTTGTATTTTCCTTCAAGTACAGCAGAAGGGAAGGCAGAGCACCTAACCAGAGTGAAGGCTCTTCTAAACCCTTTTACTTCAAGAGATGTTAAATAGTTTGCTGGTTCCACAGTCTTTTTTTATGTTTGCCCTCATCATAATGTTCCGTAAGATGGAAAGACCAGTTTGGCGTTCTATATCCTCGATTCTCTGCTTGACTAATATTTTTGTTTGGTCTGTTCCAAAGGATAAGAGCTCCTTGGGGGAAAGGCCTATTTTCAGCAGGTAACTCTGAACAGACTTAAACCAATTTGATTGGAAACTGCCACAGAGTATCAGAGGGAGTAAACCTTGTGGATTGAGACACCCCTTTAGCCAAGTATATATTGATAGAATACAGACCCAGGCTTCAACTTTTAAACAGCCCGTCTTCAGTCTTACCCTGGCATTTGACACACATCTAGGGACCTGTAAGTTGGTTCTTAAGAACTTAGACTGAACTCTTTCTAGAGGTGCAAAATAGGAGTTGGGTGGCCCCATGAATGAGCCATATAACAGTTAGGCTAACATCTTGGCTTTATATGGTTAAAGGGCTGCGGGAACATATGACCCCACCCCCTTGAGAATGGTGAAAATTTGCAATACCATTTGCAGATCTTTCTCTTTGGTTTGCAGCATATTTACTATGTTGAAGCCTAGAACCCATGGCCTGCAGGACTACCCCAAGATATTTAAAGTTATTAACTTGCTCAATGCGATGGCCATTAACCGACCAGGACCAAATCTTCGGTCTGCACCCAAAAGCAACCATCTTGGTTTTCTGGTAGTTGATTGTAAGAGACTGAGTTTCACAGTATGAGTAGAGCTGATTGAGCACATGGCAACTGTTCTTTGGGCCAAAGTTTTTAGTGAGTTGTAGTCTAAAATAACAAAGCAACGTGATCAGAGTCCCCAGACTTAACAGCAAGACAAATGTGATGCTGGGGATATGTGATAGCCCCCTAATGGCTCCATTTCCATGGTGGCTTAGATGAGGTTACCTCTCCTGACTGATGGGAAGAGGAAAAGGCATGTCTATGTGTGCAAAAAGAAGAACAAGCAACTGCTATTTAAAATGAAGTCAGTCAGACCTTGTTGATCAATGAAAAACCTTTGATGTCTAAAAAGAAATGTGCTGATTTCCTTTAGAAAGAAAAAGAGAATAGCATGTAAGTGGAGAAGGGGGGGGGGGACTCAGTAGGCAATAATACCCACTGGCACCTAGACCAGAGGAGAGAGGAAGAGTCTTTTTAAGTTCTACTGATTTCCAAAGGAGAGACTAATAAGCTTTTGTCTTCTAGTTTGCCATAGGGAGGGATATGAAAACAATACAGGATTGATGTCAGTCCACTCAAAACTGGGAGAAATGTTTTAAATACGTCAAATAAAGTAACAATTCTCAATTGATTAAAAATCCAGATGTCTTAAACAAGATGGCTAAAAAAATATGTCAATAAAACAAATATACTACCATAAACAGATTTTTCCAAATTCAGATTTTGGGGAACAGAATTCAGGGAAGGATGAAGTAGGACTCCTTGAACACTACAGAACCCAAAATTTACAGGTTCACATATCTCTAGCTCTTATGCATGAGAAACACGTCGACCCAGCTCCCATTGTTTTCAGTCTATTGAGCCCAAATAGTAAGACTGCCAGTGCCAATTGAATAAACAGTTTTCAGTTGATAGACAAATTTCCCTTTGAAGTATTAATTACTGGGTAAAATTTGAATAAATATACACATCACCAAGCCCTCAGCACAGGTGCATTTTCGAAGGACATTGAAAGAAGTCTTGTGATCACTTCCAACTTTTTGGCTGAATCATTGCTACTGGTGTAGCTGACCATTAGATGGCAGCATTGGTTGCAGACAGGCCTTTTTGCTTACTCTAGTCTCAGATGTGGAAGAGTAGACTTTGGATTGCCCTGAACAGGGTTATGGTCTTGCACCCTCACCTTGATTTACTTAAGGAATTTCAATTCTGTGTCATCTTTCAACCAAACTGGTTGCTAAATGGGCTTTCAAGACACATTAAAAACTGTTGAAACATTCATAGAGGATCATAGTATCTTAAGGCTACCCAGACCAGCCAACCAAAGGCAGGAGAGCTGACCATGTTCCCACAAAAACTTGAAATTGCCTTATACTGAATCCAACCACTGTTCTATTAAGGGCTGCATCTACACATTGCTGGGTATTGCATTATTGTTGGAATACAGCAATCATTTACCTTCTGAATTGTCTTATCCATACAATAAAATTCAGTTGTGAATGATTGTTATAGCAATATAACAGCCAGCCATTAAGAATGCAGCTTAGGTCAGTATTGTTTATTCTGATTGGCAGTGGCCCACCAATGTCAAATGTGGAAATCTTTCACATCATCAGACCCTTTAACTGGAGATACCAGGACTGATGAGACCTCTGCATGCAAAGCAGATACTCTGCCACTTAGCCATGGTCCCCACCCCAATGGATCAAACCGCTACACAGTCTAATCAAGAGTGGCAGAAGGCAAGGGTGGGCATACTGCTTCAAATGTATCTATACCAACCCTTGTTCATGAGCTCACTCACTTGAGCATGTGCTATATGGGCATTGTACTTTTGTTGTGATTGTCATTGGATGGAGCCAAGACACTCTTCTTGGAATGGGGTAGCTGCTGAGCTGTGAATATGGCTGCTCAAAGGCTACTGAAATCATATAATGCACTGTTCAGTGTAGCATCATGGGCCATACTAGGGCAGGCTGAGGGGCATAATCAACAAAGAACTACCAAGTGATAGATGCTACCAATGGGGAATATAGCAGACAGGAATGATACCTAGCACAGTCTAGGGCCCCTGGGCAACCTTATTTATGAGTGGCAGGTTTTAATGTTATCTCACACTTCCTTAAAAAGATCCTCTATAGTGCAGTCATACTGAGGTTTTGGAGGTATCCAGATACAGGGCTTTTCTGCATTCTCATTTTTTTCTCACTTGTATGGTCATGTTGCTTTGGGTTTTGGGTTTTTCCCCTGTTCCACAAGTGTTTTGCTCCCTGCAGAGAGATATGAAGGACATAACGCAATGTAATATTGAATCAACCACTAGAGGGAGCAAAACATGTGCAGAACAGGGAAAAACCCTGAAGCAACACTTACAGACAAGCGTGGAAAATGAAAATGTGGAGAAGCACTTAATTTACACTCGACTGATGAATTAGATAAGCAATTACCTGAAAAGGGGTTTACTTCTTGAGAAACAGCCTAGCTTTTTATTATTCTGAAGAAATATGGATAGGTAAAATAAAGTGCCATGAGTAGTGACCCCATGGAAGACAAAAAAACAATAATAATATCAGTGCTATTAAAATAAATATTTCAAAAATTCACACTCAGTAACTTTTGTTACTGTAAATTCAGTTCAGCATTCAGCAAAATCAAGTGGAGAAGATTTTTCCACTTCAGGGTGCATATGGCAATGCTTCAGCGTGTCCCCCCCACCAAGTCCTTCCTTGAACACAGAAAACTAGGCTGAACCCTCCTTCCTGAAACCTTGTTTTTCTATGTGTAGGGAGGGGTTATTCTTCCCCTGTGGACCAGTCAGATATTCATCCTAAAAACCAGCTGTCATGGAACACACCAGACAAATTATTGTTGTTTCATTCTGCTGAATATAGGAAACAACCCTTAATCAACTAGCGATTAGTCAAGCAGGAAAAGCTATACTGTTATATTCAAAATCCCTCAAGTACCAGTTCTCCCTGAGCAATGCTCCATGCTGATTGTGATGTTCTTCTCCAGCCCTTATATGTTTGCCCAACCCAGTGATGGGCGGAATCTTAAATCAGTTTGCTTGTCTGGTGCCTTATTTTCTTTATTTGTTAAAATGCTGATGTTTTCCTTTGATATTCTTGGATGAAACAGTGGCTTCCCATCCACAGAAGCCTCAGTTCGTTGTTGTAGTCCTACTGAAGAATTTTACAATTAGCTTGGATAAAATGGATGGCAATTTTGTGAAACTGAGTGGGATTATGCTTTCTCTGTTTATGATCAGATAACCTTAAAAAGCCCTATGCTCTTAAAGTCCCTTAATTTCTCAGTTCTTCTTATTATTTGTTTTCCAAGATCTGGAACATTGCTAAGAACAAGCTAACATTCTTGAATTCCTACAAAATGAAGATGTCTGTTGTCATGGGGATTACGCACATGGTCTTTGGCGTTGTACTCAGCCTCTTCAACCACATGTAAGGCTTGCTCCCTCACGACTGAAAATGTTGCTGATGATATCCTGCTGTGAGTCATTTTGTAAGCCTACAGGGAGTCTTGAACTGGTTCCTGTTTTACCTTGAAATGTCACAGACCACCTTCCTGTCTCCGCTCAGTGTGCCTTATTTGTGATTCTAGCCATTTCATTTTATTTGCCTCTAACCGACTCTTCAGGGTCCTGAACTCCCAGCTGTAGCCTGGGGGTTCCTATGGGGTGTCATGGTTACCAGCCCTGTGTGGGCCCCACTCCTTGATCCACCACTTGTCTTTGTGAAACCAATGCATTTGGAACCAAGTAGCTTTTCCAGATTGCTGTGGCTGTTCCCATTATGCACCTCTCTTTCCCATCCCTGTACAACTCTCCCTTCCTGTTAATAGACTATTTCAGCTCACACATTCTACTCCTAGCCTCGCCCCTACCCCTTCCTGCTACACTTCCGGAAACTGGAAACCTTTCCCTATCCTGCCTGCCCTGCTAACTGCTCTTCTCTCCACTCCCACCATAGCTGTTGAGACTCTCTATTTGAGACAGACCTTGACTTGCTTTCTTGCCTTCAGATTCTGTATCTTTTTTTATCCACAACATAAAAATATATAATGGTTCTGTGGGAATTAGTTCTGTCATTTCTTCTGTGTTCCATAATATCATCTCTCTAAAATTTTAATTTAATCACAGCTCAAAAACTAACAACATTCCTAGATTTTTTTTAAAAAATTGAATTTTCATAGAGCAAATTCCATTAAGAATACATTCGGAACATTAACACATGAACTAACAATTATGCTACAATTTAAGTGATCTAAAATATAAACATAACAATTGGAATCAGATTGAGCATGGAAGAAATTATATAAGAACATAACCTGTCAGCCAGAACATTAATGCAATATAACATATTGTTGTTGCATCTCAGGAATATATGACCCACACCTCTGTCAACCGTCATTACCGAGACTATATATTTCAACCAGAAGGAGATTAAATACTGTCTGTACTGAACTTTTACAAAGTTGTGCAAGTGACAGTCTATTCACATGATAATTATATTTACATAGTATTTTAAGTGTTCAAAGTGCTTCACATACTTTCAGTAGACTTTATAATGCTCCTATAAGGTAGGCAACCAAAAAAGAAGGGGAGCCAGTGTACAAGGATAGGAACAAAGCACAAAAACCACTGACTAAAGATAACCAATATATGAAACAAGGGGCGGGACCCACGATACTTGCGGGGGGGAGGGACCGCCACATTTATGAGGCAGAGGAGGAAGCAGCAGGAAGAGGTAAGTTCCCCCCCATCCTGCCGGTTCCTCCCCGTCTCCTCCACCCCCTTCCACCACCCCCCACTCGATCTCCCCCCCTTGCCTCTCCCCCCCCCAAGCGGGGGCGGTGAGGTTGTGAGATTTATTAACTGCCCTATCCCAGCGTACACCGGGCTCTGAGTGATGTACAAGGCATGATGCCATAAAATATACAAAAACAAAATTCAATATATAACTTAATAAAAATTACAATACAGAATAAAAGATCCAAGATGGTGCCTACCTTATAGAAAAAAGTACAAAAACCACTGACTAGAGATAACCAATATATGAAATATGTAATAATAATTCAATAATGCAAAAATATAATTATATAACAATATTGGCCAAGGTGTAACAAAAATACAGAAATAAGAATAAATGGAAAGAAAAATAAAGTCCCAAGTATTTTACTGTGTCTCACTCCAGTAGGGTTGTAATATCAAAGTCCATAATCCTTCTTGACTGATTATACTGGCTTTGTATGTGCCTTCTACTGAAATTGAGTCCCCTTATAGCCTATTGCTTTTGAATAAGAACAACTTGAAATGTGGCAGCCAGCATCTGGACTACGCGTCATGGCTTTTTATGGCTTATGGAACTTCTGAAATGTCCACTCTATGATGAATTGCACGTCAAATTGGACTTTAATATTACAGCCCTACTGGATATTACAACCCTACCTTGGCCAATATTGTTATATAATTATATTTTTGCATTATTGAATTATTATTACATATTTCATATATTGGTTATCTCTAGTCAGTGGTTTTTGTACTTTTTTCTATAAGGTAGGCACCATCTTGGATCTTTTATTCTGTATTGTAATTTTTATTAAGTTATATATTGAATTTTGTTTTTGTATATTTTATGGCATCATGCCTTGTACATCACACAGAGCCCGGTGTACGCTGGGATAGGGCAGTTAATAAATCTCACAAATAATAATAATAATAATAATAATAATAATATTATAAATGGGAAGAGAGGCTGATGGGAAGTGGCTTGCCTAAGGCCACCTGATGAGATTATGGTGGAGGTGAGCTTTGAACTGGGGAATTTCCCAGATCCATGTTCTGTCTCTTATTCACTACATGACACCATTGTACATGACCTTGTAAGCTACTTTTTGGTGTAGTGAGTTGAACTGAATGAAAGTCTCCGCATGGTGATCCGTCCCAGTTTCACCATTGTCCAGATTTTTTGGGTGAGCCTTTGAAAAAAACTTCCTTCAGCATGTCTGATTCTGTACATTGTCAGAACCTGATTTCACTTTGCCTCACTGTATCAACACAAGCCAAAACAAATGGTGGACTCATGCAGCAATACTTTCCTTTTCCTTCCTGCTTCCACAGTGAACGCTGGCCATCCACAATAATGTTTTTTCCTTCTTCCAGTTATTTCAAGAAACCCATAAACATCGTTCTCCAGTTCATTCCAGAGATGCTCTTCATCCTCTCCCTGTTTGGTTACCTAGTTTTTATGATTATTTTCAAGTGGTGCCAGTATGATGTCAGAGATGCCCAAACTGCCCCGAGTATCCTAATCCACTTTATCAATATGTTCCTGTTTAGCTACAATGATGAGACAAACCAACCCTTATATAAGCATCAGGTATGGACTTTTCGTCTTCTGTTAAGGATCCTTTATTAACCTTAGGGAGATGTATGTCAGTCAAACCCAGACTGAATGTACCTGATGGGTGTTACAGGGGAGTGACACTCCCCAAAGGATATGTGTTTTTTATTAATGTGATTGCACAGGATGAGACTGAGATAGGAAATGTAACTTTGTTTGTGGTTATATGTCAGGCTTATTATGCAGAACCATAGGGAAAGCAAGTTTAAAAAAATTAGGGAAGGGTCACCGGTTGGTAATAATAATCCAGGACCAACAATCCAGGACCAGCTAGCTGAGAACAGTTTGATGCAATCAATTCATTTCAGTCACCTTGATGTGACCTTTCCCTGTAAAATAAATTGATTGTATCAATGGGCCTTTACTTCCTCATGTCAACATAGCCCATTGTGTGACTGTATTTATTTTACAATAGAGCGAAACAGTTTGAGAAGATTCAGGAATGTATAGGGTGGCCAGGTCTTACCTCCCCCCGGTGGAGGACTTTGGGAGGCATTCC